GATCAACAGTCTAAGAAACTGCAAGAACTTCACAAACACACAGAAATTAAATAACACCCTGCTGAACAACCAATGGGTTACAGAGAAAATTAAAGGAGAAATTAGATAGTTTCTACTATTAAATGATAATGCCATACAACATACAGGAATCTATGGGACACAATGAAAGCAGTTCTATGAGGGAAATTCACAGCACTAAATGCCCATTCCAGAAAAACTGAGCTTGCTCAAATAAACAACCTAATGCTTAACCTTAAGCTTCTAGAAAAAGAAAAGCAAGGCATACCAAAAGCCTGTACAAGAGAGGAAATTATAAAGATCAGAGTAGAAATTAATGCAGTGGAGACTAAGAGAACTATACAAAAAATTGATGAATCAAAGAGTTGGTTTTTTGAAAGAATAAATAAAATCGAAAAAACTCTTAGCAGACTTTATCAAAAAAAAAAAAAAGGAAAGAAAGGGCTCAAATTCACACAATTAGGAATGAAAAAGTTTGTCACAACAGATCCAACAGAAATCCAGAGGATCATCATTAAAAACCTGTACTCTAACAAAATGGGAAATTAAGAAGAAATTGACACATACCTAGATACATTTGAAGGTCCAAAGTTGAATGAAGATATAAAAAGTCTAAACATACCAATTACATTCAGTAAAATTGAAAATGTAATTAAAACATTACCAACAAAGAAAAGCCCAGGCCATCATGGCTTCACTGCTGAATTCTGCATGACATTTAGAGAAGAACTATTGCCACTACTCTTTAAACTATTCAATGAAATTGAAAGGGAAGCTTCCAAATTCATTCCTGGAAACAAGTATTACTTTGATTCCAAAACCAGGGAAAGACCCAATCAAAAAAGAGAACTACAGGCTAATCTCCCTAATGAACACAGATGCAAAAATCCTCAATAAGATACTAGCAAACAGAATACAGAAGATCATCATGAAGATCATACACAATGACCAAGTTGGATTTATCCCAGAAATGCAAAGATGGTTCAACATATGTAAATCAATAAATGTAATACACTATATTAACAGACTCAAGGACAAAAACCATATAATCATCTCAATAGATACAAAAGAAGTATTCCACAACATTTAACAACCATTCATGATTTTTATCTCAACCTGATAAAGGCTGTCTATGAAAAACAAATGGCCAATATCATTCTAATGGTCAAACACTAAAAACCTTCACATTAACATCAGGAACTAGACAAGGATGTCCACTATCACCACTCCTGTTCAATGTATTTCTAGAAACATTAGCCACAGAAATTAGAAAAGAGAAAGAAATAAAAGGAGTAAAGATAGGAAAGGAAGAATTTAAATTGTCACTATTTGCTGATATGATACTCTACATAGAAGATCCAAAAAACTCTAACAAAAGACTTCTAGACTTAATTGACAGATTAAGTAGAGTAGCTGGATACAAAGTCAACATTCAAAGATCAATAGCCTTCTTTTACAAAAATAACAGTCTCACTGAGAGAGAAATTATGGAAACAATTCCTTTCACAATAACATCCAAAAAAAATGAAATATCTAGGAATCTAACTAAAGAAGGAAGCAAAAGGCCTCTACATTGAGCACTACAACATTCTGAAAAAAGAGAATGAAGAGGATATAAGAAGATGGGAAGACATCAACATAGTGAAAATGGCCATACTTCCAAACTATACAGATTCATTGAAATCCCAATAATATATTTTACAGAGTAGAGAAAACAATCCAAAAATTCATTTGGAACCAGAAAAGACCTAGAATAGCAAAAAACATTATAGGCAACAGAAACATGGCAGAGGGGTATCACAATTCCCAACTTGAAACTATACTACAAAGCCACTGTGATAAAAACAGCATGGCACCGGCAAATAAATAGACTTGACGATCAATGGAATGGATTAGAAGATGCAGAAACATCAGATCTCATCAGCTATCTCATCTTTGATAAAGGAGCCAACCATCCTTACTGGAGGAAAGATAGTCTCTTTAAAAAATGGTGCTGGAAAAAACAGCTTTCAACTTGCCAAAGATTAAAACTAGATCCCTTTCTTTCACCATGCACTAAACTAAAATCCAAGTGGATTAAATACCTAAATATCAAAATAGAAACACTAAACTCATTGGACAACAAATTAGGTAGAACTCTTGAAGACACTGGCATAGGAGAAGACTCTATGAACAAATCCTCAGAAACATGAGACCTCGCACAAAGAATCAACAACTCAGATTTAATTGTATTAAAAAGCTTTTGCAGTGCAAGAGAAATCATCCACGGAACTGAGAGACAACCTACAATGTGGGAAAAAAATTTTATCAGCTGTTCCCCAAAGGACTACTATCTAGAATATATAAAGAAGTCAAAAAAATCAGATGCCCCAAATACAAAGATCCAATTAAAAAATGGGCACCTGAAATGTACAGACATTTCTCAGACAAAGAAGTGAAAGCAGCAAAAAAATATATGAAAAAATGTTCAACAGCACTCACTGATCATTCAAGACATGCAGATGAAAACAACACTGAGATTCCACCTCACCCCACAAAGAATGGCTGCTATCAAGAAATGAACCAATAACAAATTGTGACCAGGTTGTGGAGAGAAAGGAACCCTTCTCCATTTTTGGTGGGAATGCAGACTGGTGCAACCACTGAGGAAATCAATATGGAGATACCTCAAAGAACTAGGATTAAAGGTTCCATTTGACCCAGTTATCCCTCTGCTGGTTATCTTTCCAAAAGAATACCACAGTGATATAAGTGCACCCATGTTTATAGCAGCATAGTTTATAATAGCTAAAACTTGGAAACAACCCAAATGCCCATCAACTGGAGACTGGATAGAGAAGATGTGGTTTTCTATAAAATGGAGCACTACTCAGCCATACAGAATGAGAAACTAGAAACATATACAGCTAAATGGATGCACATTGATGCTATACTCTTAAGTGAAATAAACAGGACACATTTGAGTAAACACCGAATAGTTTCTCTGGTATGATAAACTGAAAGTGTAAATAAGATTCAAATGGTATAACTGAGAGGGTAAAATAGGAAGAATGGCTAAGGGGAAGAGGAAGGGGAGGGGAAAGGAAATAAGGAAAAAGAAAAAATGTAAAAAATGGAAACAAAATCTTTGTAAATAGGGAAGGGTGAAGGGGGTGTAGGCAGGGCAGGGTTAAAGGGAAAAAACAAGAACCAAGACGTATTATGTAAAGGTACAATATCCAAATAATAAATGTAACAGTATTGTTTGCTTTAAATGCACCAATAAACTTAATGGGGGTAAAAAGCATTTACTTAGGGTACTAGGCTTGAGTTGGGGATATGAGGTGGAAAATGAGTTACTTTTAAATTGAGCAGAATATTTCTCTTTATATAACATTTGAGCCTGAATGATACAGGAGAATAAGGAATGTGATGATAGGAAGACAGAATATTCCAGGTAGAGACAAAAAATATAAATAATGACTACCTATCCCTCTATATATTAGGCTGCATAGATCTGATACAAAGAGCTTAGTTCAATAGTAAAAGAGTGGAATATGACTTCCTAAACTTGAATTTAAAAATTTCCAACCACAAATTCCTTGAGCTTGTCTCTATTACTAATAACAACTAATATAAAAAGAATATGTAATGTACACCTACTGTTTTAGAAACAGAAAATATATCTACATTATAAAAATCAGTTTAAAAAGACAGGGTAGTTATAATAATATGCTTGCATATATAAAGTGAAAGAATGAAAAACTGAATGATGATCATTACAGATATGGGTATTAATACTTTCTACATGTCTAGATTTACACTTATTGTAGCTTTTCTTTTTTGGACCGGGGATCGAACTCGGGACCTTGTGCTTGTGAGGCGGGTGACAGAAGCACTGAGCTAAATCCCTGACCCTGTTGTAGCTTTTTATGTCTGTACTTCATCTGCCTTGCCAAACAGTAAGTAGGCTCAGTGAACAGATCCTAAACATGGCACCTGACTCAGCCTTTTAGCATTAGCTGAAATATCAAGTCCGTAATCAATCTTACTGTCCACTGAGAGGATTTGGGTGCACATGTGTATTCCAAATTTCATCTATTTGTAAAGAAGTCGAGGCTCAAGGTATCACACAAAGTTAATGGGAGTCCAGAATACATGAAAAACAGAATAAAATCTGGTTTAAGGAGAATAGAAATAAGGGGCAGGTAATTATGCTATTACTGGCCAGATACTTCCAGGGAACCATAGGAATAAGGGAATTGGCTGAATACCACCCGAGAACACTCAATGTACCCATCTAGCGAGGTATTTACTTTCATCTGCAGAGGTCAATTTTTCCTTGGACCAAAACCTGGAAGAGACATTTATAGTCTACATGGAACAACTATGGAAAAACACATACCAATAGTTCTTCAAGTCTTAAAAACAAATTGAGCAAAGGCACAGAGTCAATCTGAAGAGCCGCCTAAGTTATTTACTGGATTTTGCTGTTCTGAGATTAAAGGCCTCTAGACGAAACCACTGATGCTTCAGTGAAAGAACCCTCGGTATCTTCCTGGAGGACTCTAGCCTAGCCGTGGTCGTCCTAAAACAGCACCCAGGGCTCCCAGTGCCGCAGTGAACAGCCCCCGCCCGGGGGCTGGCCGACAGCCTGGGATTGAGGCGGGGCCCGCACACGCAGAGGCCACAGTCTCAGCTTGGCCTTCCAGGCAGCTTGTAGGGTGGACGGCTGCTCGGGGGAAGCAATGACACAGGCGAGGGTAGGTTTCAGGGTGATGAGGCTGGGGAAGAGGGTAGGCAGCTCTGGGCCGCGGTTGCACAACTCCGGGGTCACCAAGGCAATTCCTCCTGGCCACGAAAACATCTCTGCCTAGGGACACGCAGCAGCGACAGAACTCACTAAAGCAAAATGAAGTCCTTTTTCTGTGGGTCTCAGGAACCAAACCCAGGCCCCCAAAAGATGTTACAATCCCACTCCTCCCGCAAACCCCGAAACTCACCCACCTGCAACAGCAGTCTTCTAAATCTCCACCCCAGTCTCTCTGCTTCCAGAGCCCTGGTTGCGATTGGCTTGCACCACTGTCCCGTTAGCACTTCGCCAAGTATGAGTGGCATAACGGTCCGGGTCTTGCCTTTGGTTCCGCCCTCACGCCGGGGGCCACGCCCACGTGACGTCACACGATGACGCAGCGCGCGCAGGTCCGTTCCAGTCTCCTGAAAAGACCACCGCCTTTGGGGCGGGGCAACGTGCCTGGGGTTTTAGCGTGATGCCCCGCCTCCTACGTGAGGACGCCGAGAAGAAGGGGGTGGGGCCACGTTCTCATCCGCGCCATCGGTCTGGAGTCTTGCTAGCAGTGTGTATGGTTTTCCCAGCTAAACGGTTCTGCTCGGTGCCATCCATGGAGGGCGTGCGCTGGGCCTTTTCCTGTGGCACTTGGCTGCCGAGCCGAGCCGAATGGCTGCTGGCGGTGCGATCGATCCAACCAGAAGAGAAGGAGCGCATTGGCCAGTTCGTCTTTGCCCGGGACGCTAAGGCAGCCATGGTACTACAGGTCTTTGGTGTTCGGAGCCCAGGAAGCCGATGCTGGGGGAGGTGGGCCAGGCTTCTGGGCCTCCACTGTCTTTGTATCATCTCGGAGGCCTTGATCGCTGTAAAAACTAGCTCCTCCTCCATGCAATTGAAAATAGAGACCCTACTGAATCAAAAAAGTGTACAGAAGGCCTACGAAGTTTTAGGTTTTTCTACCCGTAAAAAATGGTTATTTATGTTTTTTCATTTAAATGTTATCAGATTGCATTATCTATTATTCTGGTGTATGGCCCATGCTAAATCTGTCGTTTACATATCCCACTACTGACCAGGGGGCACCGTGCACGTGGTAGACCCCAGAAAATAATGACACTATGACTTAGCTGGTATCCCTGTGTATCGAGGGATTGGGAGAGGCCTAGGCCCGTCACCTATTATCAAAGAAACTAAAACTCAGGAAGGAGATAGTCCTGGGCCTAGCTTCCTGACTGGATAGCTTGGGAAACTGTTTTTGATATATTCCTGTGGTTTGGTTATGTCTTTTCTAAAAACCAATGGCAAATTATATGTAAAAATAAACGGTTTTACTATGTAGTACAATTTGAAACAGCCTCCACTATCACTTTAAAGTCGTTTCTTGAAAATACCTCTTTTCTGTTTGAAAGGTGGGCTGTTGATGCATTTTTGAAGGCCTACTAGTGAATATGTTTTTCCACTTATAATTATATGAAATTGGGAAATGAGTGAAATAGAAAGTCCTGTATTTTTTAAGTCAGTATTATAATTGATGGAGAGAAAACCCTGAAGGATTTCTTTTTAAAGTGTGCCTACTCATTCAACCCTTGAAGTTTTTTCCGTTTTTAATAATTAATAACTAATGGAGGTGCAAGAAAGGAACAAGACAACTTATGCTGCTAATTTTTGAAGGCAAGCAATCTATATATAGTATCGTAATATGTGCATATATGTACAGATGGAGGTACAGTAGCGATGCTCTTTGTGGAACTTTTTATAACTGCAAACCTAGAACTAATTTAAATTGAGCTTTATTGTACCTCAGTACTGTGAAATAGTATGCTACAGTTAAAAGTACACAGACCAGACTGATACAGATAAAAAATAATTCCTAATAGTTACAAATTATAAAGCTTAATAGATTATACAATACCACATATACTATGACCTCATAGCAGTTTCTATAAAGAGAGTTAACAAAAATATGCAGAAGCGTGTATGTTTAAATACTTTAAGACTGGAAGGAGGCCTACTATTAACGTTGTTTATTGTTAAGAATTGCTTTATCTTAGCTCACATGGTAGTGCATGCTTAAAATCCTAGCTCTTGGCAGGCTGAGACAGGAAAATTGCCTGGAATTCAAGGCTAGCCTGGGCTACATAGTGAATTCAAGATGAACACAAACTACATAGGGAGACCCTGTCTCAGAAAAACCAGAAAAAAATAAATTGCTTAATCTTGATGCATTGTATTTAATACTTACGTACTTTCAAAGCAATTAAAATTTTAGAAAATACAAAAATGTACTTTATATATTATAAACTATGTACATATTTAGCAGACATCAACGTATATCAAATGCTTTATATACTTAACAGGCTGGTCGTCTGATGATAAGGAAATTAGTTGCAGAGAAATTGAATATCCCTTGGAATAATATTCGTTTGCAAAGAACTGCGAAAGGAAAACCAGTTCTTGCAAAGGACTCTTTGAACCCTTACCCCAATTTCAACTTTAACATCTCTCATCAAGGGGACTATGCAGTCCTTGCTGCTGAACCTGAGTTACAAGTTGGAATTGATGTAATGAAGACTAGTTTTCCAGGTAATGTCACATTTTTGTGGTATAAAAATTAAGTGTCTTAATGTTTCAGTTCTCAACTATTGGTTAATCAAAACTAGGAGCTATAGTACAGATTTTTAAATTTGGGAAAAAAAATACTCAATACTCAAGAGTATCTGAGAAAGCGTGTATCAAGCAAAATATATTCCCTGTAATAGTAACAGATTTCTACAAAAAGATTCTAAATTTGTGGTAATCCACGAAATATTTTGCCTAGAAGCAAACTGAAATTATTTTCCTTTTGACTTAAACCTCAGTTTGTTTTACTTAAGCATTCCCCACAGTTCATCAGTAAGTTAGTAATTTGTTTAAAAGAAAAATCTTAATGATAAAGTATGTTTTAGTTCTTAGGTAGAGATGACACTTTTGTGCAAAATCTAAATGTAGCTCTTTATCACATTTATATATGTAAATATGAAGAGCCGGTGTCATTAAAATAAGTTGTATGTATATTACTGCAGGTTTGTTATTGGTTGTCTTCGGAGCCGAATTAACTCAGAACTTAAAATACTTCTGCATAACATACACGTTCTCTAACTGCTCTGTAGTTGTCATCACTGATATTTGGGCCACAGCATTTTACTTAGTGCTTTACGTATGTTCTCCAAATTCTCTCAACCACTCTATGAGTGCTCCTATTATTTTTATGAGATGATAAGTGATGGGCTAAGAAGAAAGCTACTAATACGAGAACCAGCGTCTTCCTAATATAGTAGTACATATAGCCTAGTTTCACACGGGCTTCATTTCACTTTGCTTATGTGGTTCTTTCAGTCTGCAAAGTTTATATTGACTTTGTCCTCCACCCCCATTTCTGCATAGATTCCTTATCTACTGGGTAGATTTCATCACAGCTTTACTTTTTAGGGAAGCCTTTTTGTTAAGTTCAGTTACAACTTGGTTCTCTTACTGTAAGTGCTCATGTATATTTTCTTTATTCTAGTATAATATCTGTGTTTAAATTATTCTTTAGCATAATTGCTTTTCTTTTCCATTTGTGCTTATTAGCTGCATGAGAGCAAGACCCATGTTAGCAATATCAGAGTTTGATGACTATCATATCTCTTAACCTTGCCTACTATATAGTTTTACTCGATAAATATTTGTCAAGTGAATGAATAAACACTGTATTATGATATGGACTTCTCACCTTTGCTTTGTCATTATCTTGCATTTGACTGGCTATGTTTTTTTTGTCCTTTTCATAACAACTCTTAGAATTCTATTTTCTAGTTTGCTCAACAGAAGGCTTTACTAGTGATTTTTTAGCAAGTTCTTAACCTACACTCTGGATAAACACAAGGCATGTTTTTAACCCTCTCAAAGTGTTGTTGCTTTCTGTACAAATGTTTCCACATGCATTTTTTTCTGTGTCTTTTGCTGTCACAGAATAAGATGGGTTATTTATAAAGAGCTTTATCTTGGTTCATTGCTCTCCAGCCTGGGAACTACATGAACAATAGAAGGCCTTGTGCTAGTGCAGCTTCAACTCATGGCACAAAGTGAAAGGGCAAACTGGCATATATGAAAAGGACAAAATACTTCATAGCTTTGCGCACTTGAGGTAACTAATCCAGTCCCACAAGAGATGAACCCACTTTACTGTGTAAGACTTGCTAAATGAATCAAGGCATTGACAAGGGCAAGGCCCCCATGGTCTTGTCAGCTCTTGAATGTTCCACCACTTCTTAGTATATTTACATTGGCAATTCAGTGTCAGTATGAGTTTTGGAAGTGATACCGTATGCAAACCATATCTCCAAAGAAAGGATATGGTAATTCGTCAGAGTTTTAGAGTGTTTATTCCAAAAGGACCACTGCTATAGAGAATTCAGAAGGAACACGGTATGAGCTCATATGTTTTCATAGTCAAGAGCTTTCCATAAAATCAGAAATTGTGGAGAGGTCATTAATCCTTTAGAGTGCAGCAGGCACGAGTACACAGTAATGATTGACCCAGAAGGTTGATATCTGCCTGGAAAAGGTGCTGTGAGAAACAGGTATTTATTATTGATTGGTTTGAGATGCAGTGTACTAGTTAATAAAAAATTACTAATTGAAGCTTTTTAAAGTACATGACGGGAAGGTACATGAGCACACATTGAAGATTTGGTTTTCTGTTAATGATTCATTCAACATTTTCCCCCCAGCTTTTTTGACCAATGATTTTTGACTAATCACAGTATGTAGGCCCTTTCCGTTTCTTCATTTTTCATTACCAAAAATTCATTGCTACATTCAGTGACCACCAGAGGAATGGACATTTTTTCAATTATCACTAGTGTCACTGATTGCTGAAGTATGAGTGGATGCAGCATGATCTCTTTGTGAGGGTGGGAGGTAGACACTGCTTTGCTTCCTTGAGGATTCACTTGAATTGCTCTATCAGAATAAGTGATGAAATTAATCGAGGGATATTCCTGAGAGTCTTGTGAATCGGCTCTTGTGTCAGAGTCAGCTTTTGGGGGGTTATTAGTGTACAGAAGGAGCCAATTCCATTATACTCATTTTGTATCTGCAAATACGCATATAAAGTAACTTGAGGAATCTGACTTCTTGTTGCATTAGCCATTTTTACTAAACGTAGCTCAATTCCTCCTTCCCCCAATTCTACCATTGCTGCGACAGAGCAGGAGAGAATAAGATGATGGATCTAGAAAACTATTTCTTCCTTCTAGCAAGGCCACAATGAAGGAGGTTATTGCAGCCGACACCTTTTTTCTCTGTTAACAAGGGACCTTTATAGAAAAGTAACTGGTACACACTAAAAACTCAATAAATATTTGTTCTGTGAATATCAACAGGAGATGGTTTATAATTTATTGAGTAGCCCAGTGTATAGTTGGATTTTTCTCACCTTGGAAAGAATGGTATTTTCCTAGTGAGGTTTTTCCTCTGTTTTCTAATTTTTATTTGCTATTAAAGATATTTGCAGTTTAAGTATAAAAAAGTAATAGATTTGTGATTTATTTAGTTTTGTTACCATATTTACAAAATGAGGTAAGATAAGACAGCGAGGTCAATATAAAAATTAATATATAAATTTTGAGAAAGCAGAATTTTTTTCCCACATGGTTTTACATTTTCATGTTTTGTTTCTATTATAAATATTGCAAGATATTAGTTGACAGGACAAAAGAATGTATAGACATATTTTGGCATACAGCACTAATTTTAATTTCAGAAATTTGAAATGATTATTGTGGAATGGCTTTATAAAATAGCTTTATATAGTAAGTATAAATTAAATGCAACAGCTAAAATTTAGGTGCAGATGTTATATGATAGCTAGAAAGGCCATAGAGCCTTTTATTTTCTTCCACCATACCATTTATCCAGCTGTTTTTAGTTTTCTAATTGGTTTCTGCTTTTCACTTTTGTCCTTACCCCAGTCAATACAGCCTCCATACAGTGACCTTTTGAAATATCTGTGGAAGTTTTCTTAAAACTCTTAAGTTGGTTCTTAGTGCACTAGAATAAATTGTGGGCCCCTTGGCCCAATTTTATTCTTATCTATCTCTCAATTTTCAGACCACCACTTCTCATATTTTCTGCTCTCTTTGATTACTGTTTTCTGTCTGCGCCAGTCTTGTTTTACCTTACAAGTCACAGCTTCCTCTTGTTTAGGCTAGGATCAATCATTACAATAAAGCTAATTCCTTTGCCTGTTCTTTCCATTCTTGACTGCCTGTGAAATGAAGGATGAGAAAAAATCGCCATTATCTCTTCAGAAAGGACTTCATGACACTTGATCTTTCCTTCATGGCCCTTCTTATTTGTAATCACAATTTAAATTATTTGATTTATTATCTCCATCATTAGAAGTGTTCAGGAACCACACTTTTTTTTTTTTTGGTACCAGGGATTGAACTCGGGTCCTTGCGCTTGCAAGGCAGGCCACCGAACCACTGAGCTAAATCCCCGGCCCCAGGGACCACACTTTTGTGGTGATTTTTTTGTTGTGGGTTTTTAAATTTAATTTAATTTATTTATTTATTTTGTGCTGGACCTTGTGCTTGCTAGGCAGGCGCTGTGCTGCTGAGCTACATTCCTGGCCCATATGTGGTGATCTTTGCCACGGTATACCAAGTACCTTGTAGAGTGTCTAGAACATAGCATATATTTGACAAATGTTTATTAAATGTACAAAGATTGGGAAAAGCTCAGGGGAGCTTTCTCCATAATTCTTCTTGAAATACTCAAAAGTTAGTTGAAACGTGAAAAAAAGATTCACAATCACTGGTCATATTGGTTTCTACTTGGCATACAAACTATTCAGTGAATTATGACAGCAAATAGTTGTGTATTTCACTCTTCTTTTTACCTGCTATTATATGGCTTGTATCTGGATATCCTCCCTAACCCTCATGCACTCATAGGTGGGGCTTTTTGGAGCTGGCTAGATCTAGAGCATGTGATACTGGGAATAAGAGTGTGTGGGACTAAGTTAGTCCACTAATCAGAATTAGCGTAGTTCTTCCTGGTACCATCCAAAAGGCTGGTAGCCTGGGTGGGATAAAAGGGAAAAGCAGGCTCACTGCTTACTGCTTGCTGCTGCTGCCACCGCTGTTCCTCTCGTCTGCCGTGCCATAGACTTTGTCCTCACTGATGCCCTTGTGCTGTGCTACTTTACCTTGGAACCAATCAACTGTGGACTGAAACCTCTACAAACTAAGTTGAAGTAAACCTTTCCTCCTTTATTTAACTTGAGTGTCTGGTATTTTTGTCTCAGCAATAAGAAAAGTAACTTAGGACACCTCCCCATTTATTGCCTTAGTTTTTTCTCTTCTGAATTTCCATGCCCCTCAGAGACCATCTTTGATAAGTCTCTCTTGGACAGTTTACATTCTAGACCTGCTGTTTTCAGAATATGTTTAATTAAGGCAGTTTTTTTTTCTTTAAGGTTGGATTTAGAGTTTGTAAGTAGCTTTACAAAGTTGTATTACCTTTGTACTCTGAATTTCTTAATAGAAAACAAAGTC